GCACCTTGTATATGTTTTATTAAATATAACTGGGTGTGTAAAAAATGAGGTAAAAAGCGCGAACGAGTTAACGCTTAGCCGGTAAATAACTATCCTCGTCCAGTGGGGTGTAGCGAGTGTTTCCTACTTCCGCTTATCGACATATGGGCCCTATTCGTTTGCGTAAATTATTAAGCGCGGCTCATGCAGTATGTGAATTGTTGCACCAAATGAGTTGGTTTTATGATTAGGATGCTGCGTCAAGATGTTGCTGTTTATCGAAAAAATGATTTGATATTTAAATAAAAAAAAATTAAATAAATGTGTTGTGCGCAAATGTGCAAATAAGTAACACGAACTGGAAAACAAAGTGTCTTTCACCTAGTTTTGAGGTCTGAAGCCTGACCTCGGTTCAGAAACAGTTAATATACGTCTTAAGAAGCATTACATTTAGCATCTTCAAAATCAACCTTAACATGTAGCAAAAAGAAGCTCAATAGCTTACACTCAGTGTGCAATCAAGAAATATCTTACAAGGGATGTGGGCTGACTGTCCATCTTCAAACGTATTGATGAAAGAAGTTTTTCTGTCGAGTAATCTCAAACTACAAGCCACTCAAAATAGCTGAAGCTGAAGGCGAACCAAAACCTGTAGCTATTTGGCTATACCATACAAAACCGGTACTAGATAAATACTGCCATAGTAAGTTAATCGAAAAAAAATCGCTGGCCGTAAATCATGCGGGGAGAAGTTCTTCGCTCTGACCCACAAACTAACCCAGAAAAACTAATCCACAAGACAAAAATTGATGTAATATGCTTTTAATTGACGGCATAATAGCAGGTCTGTTTACGCGGTTGTTCATCGAATGCAAACATATTTGTTAGGGCAAGGGACGAGTGGTAGGAGTGGCAGAGTAATTATCGATTCTCGTTAAACTTTAATGCGAATCGCTGGTCTCAGATTATGATCTTATCCATTTTTTATATGCCACTGGATCTACGATAATTACTGAACTAATCCGGTTTTTTAATTTAATTTGGTTTACAGAAGCCCAACGGCAAGCAGCAGTTTTACTGTTAAAAAATCCAACAGGAAAACTGATTAGGCGATTTAGATCTGAAGTTCTCAATTTTGCCATTTGTTGGTCACAATTGAACTATGAAAAGATTAAATTTTTAAATTCAGATTAGGCCTGTTCAGATGATTGCCATTTTGTGCCATCTGCACTTTCACATCGATGTAGTTGATCTACTGAGGAACTTTCATCAAATGTATCAGATTTCTTCTACCAAAAAAATGAATACTTGCTTGTACAGCATACTTGCTTCAATTCAAATACAGCATACAAACATACTTGCTTCAATGTTTTATAGGTTTTCGAGGAAAAGTTATCCTCTTGAATACAATTTTTGACAATTTATTAAATATTATGTCAATTAAAGTAGCCAACAAAATTACATTGTCTTGAATTTTCGATGAAAAAATTCTTAATTTTTTAAATTTATCGGGTAAACAAAATGCAGAAAATGCTTTTGTCAAAAGTATTTCAAATCCGCATTTAAACAGTTTTCAATACTTTTACAACAAATATTTATTCGAGTTGTCTCACAGTTATATTTCATTTGGGGTTTATTTGTTAATTTATTATTGTAATGAAGCATATGAAATGTTAGCTGTTTTGTTTGCGAGTTATTAAAAACCTTTAGAAACGCCAAGGCAGTATTGTGCGGCCTTTGAAAAACTAACTATTCGTTAAATGGGTAGCACAATTTTGTATATCAATTATTTCGTATTGCTCGCAAACCAACAAACATAGGAAAACATGTTTTTGACTAGAATGTTGCAAATTCATTGCAATTTCAAACAGCTTCTAGGCAATTGTGCAGCTGCATTCTGTGGTTCAGGAGAAAACTGCAAGAATGTATGGAATGAGAACTCGCCACCAAACTTTCAAAGAAGGGTTTCTAACGACATGATTATATCTTTTGGGCGATTTCTCTTGACCGATTTCCGCTGACTTTTTACCCCATGGACCAACTCTTTTTAACATACAAATCGAAAACCATCTATATTTTATCACCATATTACTACTGTGAACATCTGAAACAAAAAACTAGCGAATTATCTTAATTTTCTACTTTTATGTAAGCCTGGCTTACTGGCCGCAATTATTGCCTCGATGTCTTTGCATGTGTCAAGTAAGATTATCACAAAATAATTAAAACGTAAGTGGCGTTCATAAATTTCGCGATTTCCGATAGACCACATACATACGTGCAATAAACGATCGCGATTCAAATATCTCTCAAATATCGTGCGTGATGGCGTTTGTTGAGAAACATCTGCAGGTTACTCAAGTGACTCCACTTAAGTGCGCTCGGCATTCGCTCAAGACCCACATAGAGATATGTGTTCCAATTATTTTAACGGTTCTATAATCTGGCTATTACCATACCACGCTAATTCTTATGCACATCGAACGGCTCTTAAAGAGATAAAGCAAGACATGCAATAATAAAACTCATTGTCTATTTAAGGTTTTGCAGTAGTTAAAATTTTACGAGTCGTCCGTAAAACCGAAAAATCTCGATGCTTGCGCGAAAAAAATGGCAAAATAATGAGCGTGAAATGCCATTTAACTTTAGTCAATTTGACAACACAATTAGGTCGTAAAACAAATGTGAAATCGGCTACAGAGTATGTCTAGTGTGTAGTTACGGCTATTGTGGGATCGTAACCTTTTTATGGTTCCTATGAAACACTACTGGCTGGTGTAACTGAGCAGTGAATTTTTAATCTTGCACGTTCTGTTAGGAGATAATTAAAAGATTCTTTGGGCGGCTTGCATCGCTACTGGCGCCAAAACAATACACTCAATCCAGAATTATAGAGAAATATAAAAAAACAATTTCAAACAAAAGGAAAACCTTGATTGGATGATTGTCTTGCGTCCGACACACTTTTTCTATGATATTAAATTTACGATTTGTATGATCATGTTTCATAGAAAATTCTTTATGAAAAATGCAAGCAAACGACAAGTAGGTTCAATAATGAAAACAGTTTCGAGTTTCACTTGGTTTTCAAAGTTTCAGGATTATCGTAATTAGTTGATTGGAGAAACTCCTATGTTTGGCATCGTGTTATTTGAATTGTTGTAGTGACTCTTGATTCCCTCGTTTTTTAGTTTGTTCAAACTAAATTAAGAAAATTAACTTGCACCAAATAGAAACCTCCCGATCCGGTATCTTTCCCATATTTGTCTTGTAGCAAATGTGAGACGTAAGAAAAGATTCATATAAATGCAAAATATTACCGATGCTTTCATATAGCACATTGGAGTAGGCCTGCGTAACACTGTGTTCAGTTGCGCTATTGAGTTGTTGCCGCTCTCTGAGTTAAAAAAGTTACTTATGACTCATCGGTTAATGAGTTATAAGTAATTTATTAATGCTTTACGAGACCCGAGACTGGAATTTTCATCTCTAAAAAGAAGAGTCACCAGCATTTTTTCTGAGCAACGTTTTACTTCTTTGTTCAAACAACCAAAAAGAGTCATCTAGATTTTGCCAACAACAGAACTAAGTCTCACGAAATTCAACTAGTTTTCTTGTAAAATCGATATTATCATTTTTTTGCTATAAAAGATTCACTTTTCCATTATTTTACAGTAAAACGTTAGGAAAAACGCGTTTTTTTTTGTTTAGATGCAGTGTTTACCCAATTTTTTTTTAAATACCCTGATATAATTATTAGGGGTTTGTCCATGATTCGAAGCTGCAAAAAGTTTTCCAACCACTTTTCTAAAGCGGTTAAGGAGGCGAGTGTTCCAATAAAATTACTCTTATAATTTTTCACAGAAAATACCTAAATTTTCAGTATTTTAACTGAAAAATTATGCGATATTTTGCGCGATATGCGAAATATTGCGATTGAATAGTAAAGTTTGTTTGAGCTAAAGCGTTTTGCATTTAAATGAAGTTTTCAAAGTTTATGTCTCAGTTAGGAGATTTTTTAAGTTCTTCACACCCATGGGAGCGAATCTTTATGATGGGTATTCCAAATTTTACAGAGTATGTACCTAATTGAACGTTGTGATAATGGTTGATTTTCTAAAAATAACTCAAAATTATTTCACTCAAACCTAAATCCAGATATAGTCTAAATTTGATTTAATACTAGAGAGAACTTGATAAAATAAATGCATTAAAAATGATTATCCTGGATATATTTTTCATTTCCCGGTCATGGAAAACAAAGAATGCCACTTGGCATTGTATCGTCCGTCATCAGAAAACCTCCACATCATGAATATTCTAAATATGATAGTGACATGCGAATCAGATGGCGAGGTGTCGTGTTTTTATATTTTGTGCTACTCAGGACCCCTGCGAAAGTGGAGTGTCATGTCTCTTATGCTCCTTGGGGAGGATGCCTAGTAAAGGCGCATATGATGTCTCTCGAGTTTAATATTTACCTCGCGGTTGCACGAGAACTGAGCATCTTTTTATTGAATTTGATGGCATAACTGCACCGTAACCTTGCCCTTTTCCTCGCCCACGCACACCAACCGCAACATTCACCACGGTTTTAATAAATAACGGAAACCGATAGAGCGTTGTTAAACGTTTCAGTAAATTGTTGACAGCTTTATATTTGTTCAAATGCATTATCTGTGTTTCTTTATTGTAATACGTTAAAATCCTCTTAGTTTGAATTATGGCCATATTGGTTTCGCACGTCAATTTAAATCATGACCACGTCCAACTAAATGGATAATTAATATTAGAGCCTCGAATTTATTATGTCACCTGCGGCGTGGTTCGATGGAGAAACCAGTCGCTTTCAAATTTATAGACTTTATAGTTGCTTAGCACTATGGATGGAGGATATCGAGGATACTTGAAATAATCCCAGTGTTCCATCACCTTCCTTATCCCATCATTGAACATTCTTCTTTTGCCGGAGAGTTGATAAGACCCCATCATTTATACCTAAGTATTGTTTCTGATTGCAGCGGCCCCCATCGTCATCGTTGAGCTACGGGGGTCCCGTTAACGATGACGTCCGGTCACCAGGAACGCCTGGACCCCTTTCACAACCTCCCGCATCGCAGCAAAGTCTCGACGCCTCGGATCCTGGTAAGTACTAATTTTTACCGATTTTTCCCCCATTTTCAACCCCAAAAATGCGCCACATATCGACAGTCAGGCCAGAATTGGTTTTCCTGGTTTTAGAATCTATAATTCGCCAAAGAACATTGCTAGTTTTACTAAAATGAAACCACACATTTACCCACTGGCAATAAAAATTTTGTAAATCGACTTGAAAGGGTCCAGACCATTTTGGAGGGTTCGTCTTTGGATTTTAGAAAGAAATTAATGCAACCGACGCTACTGCTCTCTCTCTGGAAAAATTACATATTATGGAAACTCCTTGAATGTTATGGTAGATCGTGATGATTTTTTCGAATACCCAAACGCCTTTTACATTTGGGACATTCAATGCAATGCTTTGAGTTGGTTATTGATACCTCAACTGGACTTTTCAGGAAGTTGTCGCAAGCTTGATTTAGTTAGTAACTTCTTTTTCAGGCTTCTCTGGGTATCTGAGCCAGATTGATCTTGTTGGCTACTGTCTCAATAAGTTCAGCAGATATTTTTGCAGACCAACTCTTGAGGTTGGCCAGGAGCCAGTCCGCTCTTTATATCGATGTTCGTCTGCATGATGAGCTGAGGCAGATAGTACTTGCAGATATTCCTCTTGAAGTATAAGTCCGGGTCTTGATTTCCCAACTTTTCTTCATTCCTCTTAAAACTTGCTTTTCTGCAACGAAATACGTCCATGATAGTGTTTGCTTCAGCTAAGTATTTTTCAAATGCTTGAATATCTTCGGTTATGTTTTCGTTTAGTGTCCATGACTTTACTGGAGAGAAATGGAGGAAATGTGAGATTTCGAAACGTTCGTTTGCGCTTCAGTTGTTAGGTTTTTGACAAATTTGCGGATTTTATTATAGACGCGTAATTGACCTTCGAGTGACTTCAGTTTTCCTTAAGTATTGCTTGCAAACAGATAGTGTTTTGCACTGGTTCCGTCTGCTGGTGATTGCTTTTACTGATAAGTAAAAATTTCGCTTTCTCGCTGTTGATATTTAGGCCCTATTTTGAATATAGATAGCACTTGTATTATAGATGAATAGATGTAGATAAATATTGATTTACAATTAAACATGCGATATTGGAATAGAAATCTTGCGCACCATCATTGATAAGCATTTGAATGAAAGGAAACTTGATCATAATATTTGTTATGGCATGGAGTTCAAGGGCATGCTGGTAAGTTTCCGGTAATCGTATAAATGATGAACATGGAGCTTAGGAAATATTGATGGGAAGTAACAATATTACCGCTATGAATGATAGGACTTGGACTTTACATACAGAATATGTTGAACTTTATAATCAATGAAATACGTAGAATAAAATATTAAATATTTTCATTAGCATCAAGTGCATCAAGCAATAAAAGTTGGTCAGTGATCCATGCGCTAGGTTGCTTTCCTCAACTAATTTCCTAAATCGACACGCTCTTTACGATTAATAGGTAAAGAGCTTCAATTACGGGAGTACCTCTACAAAATTGTATTATTTACTCAAAGCCATTTGTGTTGATATGGATCGGGAAATCGTTTGCGTTCCGAAATTAAAAGTCTCTAGACGATACACGTAAAGTAATGATTATATGGAATATTAATGAATAGATGAAATGTCATTTTAGGAACAGTCTCTGTTATTATTTTCAATAGTTTTGTTGATGCGGGTTGTAGGACGTTTAATTGCCGATTACAGATGTTTCGAAACTTTTGGGCATTCTAGATGTGTCTCTTTTTTACTTGCAGTGGTGGTTTTTTAATCGTGTTTTATGCAAATTCTGCTAGAAGATTTACCGAATTATGATTTAAGGAAGTAATTAATTCTTCCTAGAACATTTTTTTAAATAATGTACACTTTTCTTGTTGTGTCTCGCTGCAGATCTGGAAACCATTTCAAGTCCTCTCTGTTGTTCCACAACATCTGCACCTCGTTCTTTCATCTTCTTGGTTTTACCATGTCAACTTTTGCTGGTGGTCGACTTCTCTCTGTTTTCCTTACACAGTTTCACCTCAAGACCATTTTTGGCTTCATGTACTTGGTAACATATTTATAAACACCCGAACCATATAAGCTGTTTATCTTTGATATCATCCACTATGTTCTATAATTTGGTCTCACCCCATAAAAACAAAAACCCAAATAAAAAAAATTTACAAGTCTCAACTGTCACTGGACAACGAGTAATTCGACATTTTGCAGCGCCACCATCGGTAATTGAACTCGCGTATAATTTATTTCCTTTCCGCCAGGATATTATACAGGATGGTTAAAAATTGACGTCATTCTTTCAAGGGGTTAAGGCGCTCACTTCCAGATTACGAGGGCATATTGCGACACTTTTGTTGAATTTACCGGTTACCCTAACCTATTTCATTTTTACTTGATATTTAAGAAGCAGCAGGTATTTACGTAGTGTTAATGCGCCAGATTATTTTGGAAAACATTGTACATGGTTTTTCCCTAAACACACCCAAACAACACTTCCGGAGGAACGACGCCAATTTGAATCTCCCTGTATTGTATTTTACTGTCCAACTGTGGGCTCCATTTAAAAATTGTTTCAGTTATTGTTAAATTTGCACAACCATCTTGTTCAAAACAACAAAACGTTAGCGTGGTGTTGAGTTGTTGGACAGTTCGATAACTGACATAGTTTAAAGTTAGCTTTGCTTGGTTCTGACCATTTTATGGAGATAAAGCGAAACAACGCGATACGGCTATTGATTAAAAAAGGAACATTAGTCACGAGCATGCGATGACACTAACTAATGCGGACGTCATAAATTGAGATTTGTGAAGCTAGATATATATTAGAATATTGAAGTCGAGCATTATACGGCTGTACAGATGTGTGTAGTGTTGAACACAATTACGCATTGTGGTGACATTAGTTAAATTCACGGGCGACTAATGAAAGTTTACGACCATCCAGCCACGTGAACGCGGTCACATAACGTCGTTTTATTTGACGTTTACTCAGTCGGTTCAACTGTCTGTTAGTTAGCGAAAAGTCATATGCATCATTATGCACCAGGACTGTTATACGCTCATTTAAATATGACATACCAAGCGAATGCTCGACTTTAACACTTCACTTTTGCATTTTTATCGCGCGACGCCCCATTCGTTCCTTTTTTTACCACCCACGACCACCATCGAAAATTAATTTCGGATAGAATTTCGACCAAGTGCCATATAAAAAGTTATTCAATTATTTTTTTGGTAGGAGCCAGATATGTTCTTAACGACGCTCGAAACAGTTGGGGTCCATATTAAAATGCTTCAAGTGTTTTACGCTGGTTGCATTCCGAATATCATTTTCAGGAACGGGAGTTGGATAATATAAGTAACAGTCAATGATGAAAACACCCTTGATGATGTTCCTAATTAAGTACGTCTTAGCGTCTTATCACTTCCTTCTGATCAAATTTTTGTGTGATTAGTCGTTTTTTCCTACCGCTTCCAGTTAATATATTTTTTATTCGAATGAATCTCAAAGTGCCATTTTTCGTGATTCTCAAGTTGATTTCTCAAGTGATGATCATTTTTCTTAACTGTTTATTTGTTTTACTTTTACGCACATGTGCGCAAAAGTAAATCTGACATTGAACGTGTCACTGTCATTATATTTTTGAATTATTTTTATTAAAAAATAACCGACAGGTTTTTTTAATTAATTACGTAGGTTTATCGACAACTATTGATCATAATATAAAGTTTACTTACAATTTGTAAATTATAACTTTGTTACTACGAGTTCAGTCTCAAAGTCGTTCAAATGGTCTATCAATCTATTTCATGCAAAATATGCAACATATACAAACACCATACCGTGAAAGCAGCAAAGAATGAAACGTGACAATTTCAAAAATGACGTTGACATCAGATTTAAAATATGAAGTTTATGCCTTTTATTTTTGGCTATTCTTATTTATTATAACTTATGATTCGTGTTGTGTTTTTAATTCGAATAAAAGATGTTGTTGCGAAAAACGACACTTTTCGCCCTTGCATCGATAACTACTATTATTGTAATCTTTGTGATAATTTTTTAATTAGCGTAGTTAGTGTCGAGGCGTTCTCTGGACGTTTTTTCTAAAACTTTTTGCTAATGTTTTCGTTTTTGCTGAAAGTCAAATTGATTTTGTTATTTGTAATGTAGTTTTTCTCATTAACATTTAGTAAATTTCTTCTGATTTATGCGTAATCCACCAAAGGTAGCAGAGCAAACCAAAAAGTTGATTTTTCTGATGGAACTATAGTCATTTGCCATTCAAGTCAGTTGGGAACAGCTGAGTGCTACAAAACTTAGCTTTTGCCAGATCCAGAGGATTTTCAATCAGTGAAAATGTCTAGGGAACTTACAACTTAAAAACTTTCTCACGAAGTATTAATTATTGCTTATGGATAGGTACTGTCTTGTATGCCCTGGTATGTCTTCTGCAATGAGAAGTTCAGTTCAGGTAACTTCTTCATCGAAATATTTCAGTATCAATTATTAAAAGGCAAATTTCACAGAATTGTGTACATGGGAAGTTGCACGCTAACGAAAGTTAAAGTTCAAATTTTTCAAAGGACTTCGAAGCGTAATTTTTTTTGTATTTTTCTCTAATCGGTAATTGAGAATAAACAGCTTAAAGTCAAAGCGGGTTGTGGCATAGCATAAATTCCAATAATATTTCTGCATTGAAACGGAATGTGTGCATAATAAAACATAATTGGTCAGACATATAATTCGAAAAGAAATCAAATTATTCATTTTGCTTTATCACGTAAAAAACGAAAACAGCAATAACGCGAAACTGAATACTCCGGGCCTAAATCCGATTACATTACTTCTCCATTCCTCGCCCTGCAAGAAAAAAAAATGAACGAAACCCATGAGCTTGTTAAAACACGAAACAAATAACGATATTTATATCTTCGTAATATTTTTATTTTCATGTGGGTTACATTATAACGACATTGCAGGGCGCTGGCATGATTC